AAAAAAAAAAAAAAAAAAAAAAAAAAAAAAAAAAAAAAAAAAAAGACAAAGACAAAAAGCACCCTCGTAGGCCCCATGTAATGTCCTCTCCCAGGATGGGATTTTCGTCTTTCTACTCCACTGCAATAAAAACCCCATCTTTATTTCCTTTATTTATTTATTTATTTTCCTTTTTTTTTTTTTAATTAATTTGTCATTTCTTGTCGAATTTGCTTAAGAAATTTCTGGCCTTCCTATAATTCTCTCTCTCTCTCTCTCTCTCTCTCTCCTAATTTCTCGATCTCCAATTCATCATGTCAACCCAACCACGAAAAGATTCCACGGAGGCCGGATCATCGTCGGCCACGGCGGTCCTCGACACCCAGCACCACCAAGGCGCGGCGGCGCTCAGCCGCTACGAGTCCCAGAAGCGGCGAGACTGGAACACGTTCGGACAGTATCTTAAAAATCAAGCGCCGCCGGTTCCACTGTTCGAGTGCAACTGCAACCACGTGCTCGAATTCCTCCGCTACCTCGACCAGTTCGGAAAAACTAAGGTTCACTTACATGGGTGCGTGTTTTTCGGTCAGCCTGACCCACCTGCCCCTTGCACGTGTCCACTCCGCCAAGCGTGGGGCAGCCTTGATGCTCTCATCGGCCGGCTTCGGGCGGCGTATGAGGAGCACGGCGGTTCGCCGGAATCAAACCCTTTTGGAAATGGAGCAATTCGTGTGTATTTGAGGGAAGTTAAGGAGTGTCAAGCTAAAGCTAGAGGGATTCCGTACAAGAAAAAGAAGAGGAAAAGAGCTCAATTCAAGGCTAATGACGACGGCGCTGGCGGCGGCGGCGGCGGGAACAACAATAACAACAACCAACCCATGAAGCATCTTGCTTGATTCAAATCACTGTTCTGCAACTCCTGGTATTTTTTTTTTTTTTTTTACTTCAAAGATTTAATTTTTAATTCAATAATTGATTTGAATCTTTCACTTAAGCTTCCTTGAAGATTATTGAGTAAAACCCATAATTTATTGAATCAAATTAAGCTAACCCTAATAACCCATTTTCAGAAAACCCTAAAATTTTGGAGATTTGGTAATAAGAACATGTTATCCATTACAAAAAAACACAAAAAAAAAAAAACCTTGTTTTTTGCAAACAAAGAAACAAGAAAAAGAAAGAACTGTTTTTTTTTTTTTTTTTTTTATTGAGTTAATTAAAAACTTCATTTAAATTCTCAACTTTTAGGGGTTTTTTTTTTTTTTGGGCTTGTGTGGGATTTTGTGCGCCCCATGCATGGATGGAATGGCCATTATACATTCATGCATGGGATGTTTGTTGATGGGGTTTGTGTCTCGAAGTTGCTCTCAACATTCCGCATCCAAGCCCACTACTAATAGAGATGGTTGGTTTTGGTCTGTTACGTATCGTTGTCAACCTCACAATTTTAAAATACTTCTGATTGTCAACCTCACGATTTTAAAATACTTCTGATAGGGAGAGATTTCTACACTTTTGTAAGGAATGTTTTGTTCCCCTTTCCAACCAATGTGAGATCTCACAAGTCCGAGAGCGAAACTCTCTAGGAATGGTCTTTTACTAAACATATGTGTCAAAGTTTTGTGGGGTTCTTGTTTGCTAAACGGGGTTGGAGATAGAAACTATACTCATCGTTCATGCCCTTAACTCAAAGTGTCTCTAAACGTCTCAGTGACACTCGGTCGAAAAACAAAAATATTTTATTAATGATACCCTTATGAAAAATGATCCAAAAATTGTTCTGTAACAGCCTAAGCCCACCGTTAGCTGACATTGTCTGCTTTGGCCCATTACATATCGCCGTCAACCTCACAATTTTAAAACCTGTCTAGTAAGAAGAGGTTTTTACACCTTTATAAGAAATGTTTCGTTCCTCTTTTCAACCGATGTGGGATCTCACAGACCCGAGAGTGAAAACTCTCTAGGAATAGTTTCTTATCAAATTTGAATATTCCTCATTGAAAAACATCGACCATAACCGAGTCGTTCGTTCTTCTGTTATATATATATATATATATATATATATATATATATAGATTTATATAGATTTGGGTACACCTTTTATTTTCTCAAGATATTCTAATTTTATGGTTTAGATTATAAAAGCCTCCTTAACCATTAACATTAGATTCTTGTACAGTTGAGGATTTGGAGCTAAACAGAATTAATTAGTGCATGTTGATTGAATTAATTGTTCCTTAATCTTCATTGCTATATCTTATCTTAGGACTAATCTTAACATAATATTTAGAAATGGTTGTTGCTTAATTAAAGATTTAATTTTCCTTTTTTGTGTTTAGTGTTTGCATTAAAGCTTAATTACTGACAGCTATGTGTTAATTATTATTTTGGTCTTATAAATAATATTAATTAGTTTCATAGATGGATGAAATTACATTGAACCCAAGATCGGCACGTGTTCGGTTCTTATTCGTTATTTTTCTTTTCATTTCTTTAATGTTTTGAGATTAATATCTTCATTTGGAACTTTAGGATACCGTTAAAATGAACCCTTTTCGGGTCTCGAAATTTGAACTTTGATTTTAGTCTGCGCATATGACTCAAGAATCGAATTAACTTGGACTACTCCTGGTTGGGTTAGTTAGATTTTTTTTTGTTTGTTTATCGTTCACCAGTGGACATTTTTTGGTTGGGTTAATCCGGCCAACCTAAAAATAGAGTTCCGATTCAACTCTACTCTAATATATTTTTAAGATTATTAAGAAAATTAAGAATATTTAATGTTTGTAACGGATGTTAGTGAGTATTGTGACTTATGAATGTTAGATATTTGAGGTTTATGAGATTTTAGTTATTAATAAAATATGTATAGTCGATAAGTAAGATTTTTTTTAATAATTAAAAAAAAAACCCCGAAAACCTAACCCAACCCAACCCAAAAATAGAGATTTGAGTTGAGTTGGGTACCTTATTCCGGTTGCTCAAATCACCAACCCAACCCAAAATTTTAGGTTGTCTGTTTATGTACATTCATTCCTACTTGACTTTTATTTCATTTCTGAATTGAATTTACTTTCTATATAGACGTTCAGTTCAATTATCCGTAATTCCTACCATTTGGATGCTGAATGATCTTTAATAACCTTATCTATGAACATCAACATGTTGTTTTTAAGGTTTTTTATTTATTTAATTTTCTTAATTTCAGGATAAGAAAGCAAGGGATCAGCCGAGAACGAACGTGTAAATGTGGAATGAGTCGAAGGGTTTTCTATCTGATAAAAATAATTATATAAAGAAATAGAGAATAAAAAGTTTAGCAAAGTATTGTAGCAAAAGCTAGGTTAGCAAGCCATTTTAATTTTTTTTTTTTTTTTAAATGCCTCATGGCTTGTAAGTTCACTTTTTAATTAGACTATACATCAAAATTGTCATTTCTATTGTCCAATTTTCTCTAATTAGTGGTTAATATATATATATATATATATATATATATATATATATATATATATATTGACGCGGGTTGTCATCATAACTCGGCAGCTAATTAAATATGTTCTGGTGAAAGTTCTGCTACGTTGGATGACTACTGAAAAAGTTATCATTCCATTTAAAAGCGACTTAATAGATCATGTTTCCACGCTTGTTAGGTGGGACAAAATTCGAGCCAATACAAAAGGATTGAGTCATGAGGTATAAAGGAGAAGAGAAGTATTTTGGTCAAAGCCCAAATACAATTCATCGATCTCAACCATAGGTGTAGCCTACCAAGTGGGCACAAGTCGTGCATACCCTCGGCTCGCATCATCCTAATTTAACCTAGTCTAGTTTATCTTTAACCTAATTCATAGTAGAAATGTAGAAAAGAATAAATGTTCTTTATTTGAACAGAATACCAAATCAAAAAGCACCTCGACCACACTACTTTAGCTACACCGAGGGATTATAAAGAATGAGGTCAACGAACTCCTTGACCCACCTGATCGAGGCCGATTAGAGTGTGATAGCAAAATATGTAGAGTCAGATCTAAGGACTCCTATGGTGATACCTCAATTAGATGCAAGCATGAGCATACTTCATAATGTCATAATGGAGAGAGATATCGAGGCTCCCTTGTCTCTAACAAATAGTATACTGAAACACGTTCCTAACTTAGCCGTGTCCAAGAACAAATCACCTAATAAAAAAATTAGGACCCAAATGAATTGAAAGCTTGAAAGTTTCCATACGCACTTAATCAACTCAAGATATTGATTAGCTTTCCTAATCAAAGTTTAAAACAAGATTAAAAGAAGCTGAATTATCCGCCACGCTAAGTTTCAAAGTAGAAGAAGATAAAGGTTTGTCTTGAATTAGCTAAACATCTAAACGTTGATTACAGCAGTTAGCCCAACTTCTCTACAAGCAGAGGAAAGGGAAAGGGATACAATTCTCCCTTCTTTTTCTTTCCTTTTCATTTTGGTTGGTATTATGTAATCTCCTCAGCTTCCATGTGTATGTACCTTGTGAAGTTTCTGTTACTTTACATATCTGCATCAGAAAAAACAACCTTTGATTTCAAACAACGTCAATGCATTGCCAAGTTTTCATTTGTATCAGCAAAAGCACACGAACCAGTCGTTTCAAATTTTGCCACTTCAAATGCAACAAGTAAACGAGCAATTAACGTAGTGTTTTATAACCAAGCACTTTGTTTCCTATACAATAATGTAACTACAAACTACCAAGTAAATGTGACAAATTTCGTATCCCATAACTTTTGTGACCTTGTTCCCTTTGAGAAATTATTATGACTCTTTTGGAATGTCTGTCCATAATACTATAGCCGTTTATTAGAAAAGGTAGTTTTCTGAAAATATGATGTGAGATCCCACGTCGGTTGGAAAGGAGAACATAAACATTCTTTATATGAAAAACTCTCCCTAGCTGACGCGTTTTAAAACTTTGAAGGGAAGCCCATAAGGAAACACCCAAAAATGACAATATCGGCTAGCGGTGGGGTTGGGTTGTTATAAATGGTATCAATGCCAGACACCAGGCTGTGTGCCAGCGAGGACGCTGGCCCCTAAGGGGGTGGATTGTAAGATCCTATATCGGTTGAAGAAGAGAACAAAACATTCTTTATATTCTTTATAAGGCTGTGGAAACCTCTTCCTAGCAGATGCGTTTTAAAACCTTGAGAGGAAACTCAAACCTTGAGGGGAAATCCATAAGAGAAGGCCTAAAGGGAAAACTTAAAGAGGACAATAGCTGCTAGCGGTGGACTTGGGCTGCAAATTGACCGTAGATTTCAAGAAATGCATCTGATATCTTATATTCCTTTAAGAACATAAATTTCATTTACATCATACTCAAGCAGAGAATTGGTTTCATAATCTTCAGAGGAAACCGAATGGGATATAAGACACTACATGATCCAATAGTACAATCATGAGGAAGGAATTAATTATTTAGGTATGTTTTTCCTTTTTCTTGTTGATAGCCACGATATCAGTTAGTGCCACCCCCATCATGACCATTTGCCATTAATCCACAAGAAAAAATCAGACTCCAAATTATTCATTAAGCTTTTCACCTAGAGGCTTGCGTACAAGACCTTGGAGAAATCCTCCACAAACATTCCAAGCCCAAATAAAGTCAGGCTAGAAGCAGCTTTGAGTTTTAAGAAGAAATTTTATAATCAGAGAGAATTTCCAGTTCAAAACATGAATCGAAGGACTATGTAAAGCAATTTGCATTATATAAAATAGACAAGAACTTGTGCTCCACTTGGTGGTTTATGATTACTTAGGATCAGCCCTGTAATCCAAAATTCTTTCGAACTCATGGACCCAACTGTACGACCTATAGAACAAATCCTATGCAAGTGAGGTTGTTATACTCCAATATTCTTAAAATCACGAAAAGGAATGAAACATTGTTCCTAGGCACCCATTATCTGTTTGAAACAAGGAAGAGAAACCCTTTGCAAGACTGTTTGTCAAGAGTAACTGAAATGTGTATATTAAACTATCCAAAATTCCTGCCACGAAACATTATTATTTATAAGGGTGTGGAAACCTCCCCCTAACAGATGCGTTTTAAGAACCTTGAGAGGAAGCCTGGAAGGAAAAGCTCAAAGAGAACAGTATCTGCTAGCGGTGGGCTTGGGTTGTTACAAATGGTACCAAAGCTAGACACCGATGTGCTAGCGAGGAGGCTGAGCCTCAAAGGGGGGGTAAACATGCGGCAGTGTGTCAGCAAAAATGTTGGGCTCCATATGAGGTGGATCGGGGGTCCCACATAAATTGGAGAAGGGAACGAGTGCCAACAAGGACTCTGAACCCTAAAGGGGGGTGAATTGTGAGATCCCACATTGGTTGGGAGGAGAACAAAACATTTTTTGTACAAGGGTGTGAAAACATCTCCCTAGCATACGCGTTTTAAAAACCTTGAGGGGAAGCCCGTAAGAAAAAGCCCAAATGGTGTGGAAACCTCTCCCTAGTATACACAAAAACTTTGAAGGTTGGAAGGAAAAGCTCAAATAGGACAATATCTGCTAGCGGTGGGCTTGAGCGGTTACAACAAATTTCAATACTCAAAAGATGGATTTACCAAAACACAAACACCTAAAACCAGAAGATTTGCAATACTTTTGTCTCCCTAATATGTAGAACAGCCTTACAAGTTAGAGATTCAATTCACATATTTCTCTAGATCATTAAGAGTTGGGCATATAGAAATGCATCATAACCAAGGCCATATCATCACAACCCACATCAAAATACAAGCTCTATATTGAATCAGTAACAGTTAGATCTTCAGCTTCATGAAGAAAGTAAAGGAAATTTCAATGGAAATATAGAGCAAAAAGTTTCCATGGCCTTACCACTGGGAGTCGATTTCTTCTTCCCTCGCTTAATCTTCTCAAGCTGAACCTGAGTCTCCATGAACATATGCATCCGCTGCACCTCCAAATCCTTAGCAAATTGCATCCTCTGCTTCTCCAATTCCACCATCTGTCGCACCTTCTCAGCCTCCACTGATTCATACACCTCCCCAAACCTTTGAATTGCTCTAGCCAACCTACTCATCCCCTCCCCTTCCGCCTCCTCCTCCTCCTCCTCCTCCTCCTCGCTCACTCTCTCCTCCTCTTCATCTTCATCCTCGGTCAATGCAGCCGCCGCAGCAGCAGCAGCCATAGCCGAGTAGTTCCTCCGGAAAACCCCCACATCCATGGCTGCGGCAGGCCGCTTACGAGACACGGCGATGACAGCCTCAGCCGCAGCCGCAGCCGAAGCTGGTGGAGGCATCTTCCGAAACGACCTAGGAAAAGCCGAAGGTCCAATCAATTCGTGAAGGCGACCATAAAACGGCCAAGATGAAACAAAACTCCCGCGGGAAGAAGAAACCCTAGCCGCCTCGGTCTTGTACTTCTTCTTAACGGTATCGATCCGGTTCTTACACTGAACATCGGAGCGATAGGTTTTCTTAGTAAGGCCATGGAGAGCGTTGACAGAATCAGCAACATCCAGCCAGTCCTTCTGCCGGAGATTGCCGCGATTGAGATCGAGAAAGCGGCGACCCCAAGCGTCGATGAGAGTGGAGGTAGCGTCCTCGGTCCAACAGTCCTCACGAATGGGAACCTGGCGGGAGATGGAAGAGGAAGGGGTGAGATCCGCCATGAGAAGAGATAAAGAGGTGAGGGGTGGTGAGTGGAGCGGTGGAGACGATGATATCGCCGGGGAGAGGAAACCGAAAAGGAAGCGGGCCGGGAGGGAAATGGGTCATGGTTTAGTCGGAAGCTTGGGCCCAACAGGAAAAGGGGCGGTGAAGGGGGGGTGGGGTCGCTGACTGGCGGGAAGACTGCGGCCTGGACAGCGGGGAAGTGGGATTTCCGAAACGGAGAGGGTTCACGTGGGATCTCACTACACAAGCGCGTGGCCGGTCGTCGACGACTTCTCTCTCTCTCTCTCTCTCTCTCTCTCTCTCAGTTTCTTTTTATGGGCCGTCCGGTAACCCTGTGGTCGTCGACGGATTTTCTTTTTTTTTTTTTTTTTTTTAATGTTTCAATTATTTTGGATTAATAAAAATATTATTATTAAAAAAATATTTTTAAATTTTTAAAAATTTAATACTACTTTTAAAAATATTCCACAACTTTAAAATTTTTTATTAATAAAAGTATTTTTATAATTAGTATTATGTTTAACCATATATCTCTAAAATAAATTTAAAAGTAGTAATAATATTATTTACTTTTATAAATTAAAAAAATTAAACAAAATTCTTAACGTAAATATATGGGTAAAGACGGTCTATTTACTTTTCATAAATTATTTCCAATTTTTTTTAATGTAATTTTGAAAGTTTATGGATAATTTTTAAATATAATGTTAACCATTTATTCATATATTAATTCTAGGGTATTTTTAATATTTTTTAATATTTTTAAAAGTTAAAAATAT